CTTTAGGAGGCTTCCAGAGTGCTTCTGGGGGCTGGAGAGGGCAGAAATGAGTGAAAAATGGGCCGTTTTTTGCTCATTTTTGTCCCCCCCCCCCCCGGGAGCCTCGTAAAGGCTATTCATGCCTTTCTTAAAAAAAACGGGCCCATTTTCACGAAAAAACTGCCTTTTTTGGGAGGTCTGCAGAGTGCAAAAACTTTTTTTAAAAAATTGCCTCTTGAAAACCTTGATGCGTCTTATACTCCGAAAAATACGGTACTACAGAACAAAAAGAGATTGAAAAAGAAAGAAAAAACTTAGATGATTGTATTGGGATTTACAGTGACACACCAAAAGGAGACAAGGGGGGAGCAGCCCCCACAAAGGGAAAATTGAACAGCAAAGGTGGAATTAATGGGGAAAGACCGGGGGGGGGAGGGGAACTGGGGAAAGGTACCAAAACAATAGGATTAAAAAGGAGAAAAAAGATTTGGAAGAAAAAAATATAGAAATTACAAGAAGAAGAAAAAGCTAGGCGAATGGATGGAGAGAAGAGAATATAAGAGAAGTGAAGCTCCTCAGAGACTAAGAGAAAATGATTGAAAGGAAGAAAGAAGGAAAAGGATTTACCAATAGAATAGAATGAAATACGCCAAATATAGCCAATGGGATACAGCTAATACGATGTGAGGGAAATGGATTAATACTATTAATTATGGATAATTAACTAAGTGAAATGTTTACTATATAAAATTAAATTTGAGGATATACAGTCTGTTACCAATAGTAAAACAGAATAATAGATGGAAACGATACGTTACATTGGATTAACTTGGAGAGGCAAACAATGATATTGTTTATAATTTAAGAAGAAATTAAAAGTTAATCTGGAAAACATGGGAAGAAAATGAAAGGACTTGAAATGTGAAATGGAAACATGATGTAAAATGAACGATGCATAACAGAAGATGTAAAGGTGGAAAAGAAGTTAAGAAGTTTAAGTTAAGAAGTTTAAATCTATCTTTTCTTTCCCTGTATTTTATTTTTGACTTATTTTTGTATTGTAAGCCGCCCGGAGTCCTACGGGTTTGGGCGGCATATAAATGGTATTAAATTCAAAATTCAAATAAAAGAAGTTATAAAAGAAGTTAAAATATGTAACAAAAAATTAAAAAAAAACTTTAAAAAAAAAAGGATTTCATGTCTCCATGATGCCATTGGTTTCACGCTGTGAGGAGAGCGGCCTATAAATTTGATAAATAAAATAAACGGTGACCTGGAGGCTGCCTAAAATATTATGTCCTCTCTGTGTTCTACAAGTCACACTCTGGATCTCGTGTTTCCTACTAGCACGAGCGATCGTGGGTGCACCTCGGTTCACCCACGTAACACCTATCCTCCGCGAGCTGCACTGGCTGCCTATTGGTCTCCGGATACGCTTCAANTTTCTCTGCCTCTACTTGGGAAAATTGGTTGGACTTCACTATTCCTGCTGTTAGATACAAACAAAACTCATCTTTTTCTAAATAGATTTTGAAAACTTTTTGATCTGACAGATTTTATACCAGGGTACTTTGGAGGAAAGACTTCAGAACATGGAGTGATATGGAAAATTCTGTTCTGTGCTTTCACTCCATTGCTATCTTAAAATAGTTCAAACATGATATGAACCCATTAGTTACAGTCAAATGCTTTCAGTTATCAGAAACTACAGTCTCCAGCAACTCAAGAGAGCTTATTTAGTTATGCTGACTGAGGAATGATGGGAGTCTTTTAGGGAACTGCCTGAGTTTTCAGGTTCAGAAACTAAAGACTTTGACCATTCTGAGCTTCAGCTATACTAAGAGAAGAGAATTAGAATGCATCTGATTACACTTAGTCAACTGACCCAGAGTCTAAGACAAAGGTGGGTTCCTACCAGTTCGCACCTATTCGGTAGAACCGGTTCGTCAAATCTACCAAACCAGTTAGAAGAGGTTTCACCAGTGGACCAGGAAAGCAGGCCACACCTACAGAAGAGGTTCCAAAAATTTTTGAAACCCACCACTGGTCTAAGATAAGGTAAGATCTGAGGATATCGCATCTGAACACACTGCAAATTATAATGACAAAAGCAAAGGAAATCAAGTCATCTGCTTAAAAGAAAGAATAACTCAAACAGCTACTCCGGTTGGTAGCCAGAGTTATATTTTAAAAATTGGCACTTGTGACTCTTTGGTGGTAAATAACATTTGAATATCTTACACTCTTTGTATGTATGCATGCAACTGGCAACATAGAACAGGGCTAAAATTCAACAGACCTAATTATTTGTCTACTTTTATGCCTTGACCATTTTCATTAGTCTATAGTGCATTCCTTTTAGTACAAAAGCTTAATGGATCAAGCTTTTATCATCATCATCTTCATCAACATCTTCTATTCTCATTTGTACTGTAATATTTAAGACAGCACTGGCTTACTGAATAACAGAATCATTCTAATACCTTGAATTAGTATACATTTGCTTGTTGCCATTTTTCAAACGATGGAACTTAATGTGGAAACTTCCCTTCCTTGCAGGGAGATTGAATAGTGAGCATCAAGGAATGGGTAACAGAGAATCTCTGAATTGCAACCAACATTTACATTACAGTGACAGTATAAAGGAAAACAAAAGCAAGTACACATCGGTTTGTGCAGTCTTCTATTTTATCTGATTTTGTGTAAGTAGTAATATATTGATCCTACTTCTCTGCTGATTAAAGGCAACACTCTAAGCAGTCCTAACTTTTGTACACAAAACAAATACATTTAAAGTAAAAGAGAAATAGTATAAGTTTATTTCTTAGGAAGTGCCATGTGGATGGAAAGATAAAAACAGTAACACAGATGTGGTTTCTACTAAAACAATGCCTTTTCCCTTTAAAATGGTACCATACTTCCGCAGTCATATGTCTTCCAAAGAGGCATTTTTCCCCCAGACCTTTATTTAAAACATGGTCCATGGATGTTATCAATGCTATTTTTTTTCTTTGTTCAACATGCAGGCTGTACAACTTGTTCCAATTCTTCCCTTCCCAATAATATGAACATTTGATTGCATGCTTATGTTAAAAGTTTATATGTCTGCTAAACGTCTTGCAATGCATAATGAGAACAGTTACTAATTTTTGTCTTCCTCACCAATTTAATTCCTTGCCATTTAGTCACAACCTTCTTTGTAGTTGTAAAGCAAAAGCCAAAAAATTTATTTATGACCATGAGAAATGAGAAAATATGTTTCATAAGCCATTGGTACTAACAGCCTATCTGAGTCCAAGACCACAATTCTAGTTCCAAGTCCAACATCCCATTTTGGGAAAGGAGGAATACAAAGAACTAATGATGAAAAACTAGCATTGCCATTTTTGCTGAGAGAGTGGGGGGTACTTAGTGTACTCTCATATCAGAATTTAAAGGCCAATCAGTCAGATACAACTATAAGAAGTTTAGTTAAAAGCCTGAAAAAAATCAAAGTGAACCCCATGAATTCTCTGGTTTTTGAAAACAGGAAAGCCCTTTCCTAGTTAAGAAAGGATCAAGGTTATAAATTTACACCTTGTCTAGAAAAATGATGCCTGGTCACCGGAATAGACAATATCTACACAAACATTTCAAACATCTGGCAAACAAAACAAACAGTACCCTTTCTTTTTTATATAAGTGCCACATTTGTTGCTGTTTAAATTCTCACTACAGACCTTGAGTTTTGTTTTTCCAAAGGTCAGTTTCAGACTAATGGTTTCCCGATGAAACTGTGATTTGAAGATGTATGGCATAGAAACTCTTTAATACTAGAAAACAAGAGTCCATGGTCCTTTTAGCCTATAGTTAAACCACTCATTGGCATCTCACAGGAGAAATTGCAGGTTATTTTTTTCCCTTTAGGTTTTAAATATAGCCTACAGAAGCCTCAGTTACCTTTCTTCCTTTTCCTCCAGAGTCAACTAAATCTTCAGTTGACCATCAGAAAACAAAGTATTGCTGCTAATCATGTGAAATAGAAAATTATGAGGACCAGTGGGTTGCAGATTTGCTTCCTCCATCTTCTTAATGTAGGATTCCTGCCTCATCATGACATTAGTTGGACAAAAGCATTCATTTTTCAGAAGGATATGTAGGATGGAGAAAACAAAAAGCTTATTTTCTTCTTCCTGCTCAACATTTCCCATCACCAATAAAAGTGAGAAATTACCAATGAGAAACAGAATTACTAGAGAAAACAGGATAACAAGAGAAGCAATGATAGCTGGGATGAAGCAAACTTAACAAAGATCAATAGAAAGAAAAATTCCTGAGAAGTTTGGTAGAAATATGTGCCTGTACAATGCACTACTTTGTGTACATATGTAGGCAGCCCTTAGTTTCTGAACTGGATCTACACCTTGGGTTGAAAATACCAGATACCCATCACAGAACAAAGGTTGAAGCACAAGTAAGAAAGGGAAATGAATGCTTTATAACTCATGGTGGTGCAGTGGTTAGAGTGCAGTACTGCAGGCTACTTCTGCTGACTGCCGAGATGGCAGTTCAAATCTCACCCGGCTCAAGGTTGACTCATCCTTCCATCCATCCTAGGTGGGTAAAATGAGGACCCAAATTGTTGTGGGCAATATGCTGACTCTGTAAACTGCTTAGAGAGGGCTGTGAAGCACTATAAAGCAGTATATAAGTCTAAATGCTATTGCTATACTCTACACCAGGGGTGTCAAACTCAAGGCCCAAGGGCCGGATGCAGCCTGCAGGGTGCTTTAATCCGGCCCATGGGGCACATGCTGGACTGCCCCGCAGTGCCTTTACCAGTGAAAACTGAGCTCAGGAGGCCCCGCAGTGCCTTTGCCAGTGAAAACTGAGCTCGGGCAGCCCTCCCAAGCTCCGTTTTCACTGGCAGAGGGT